AAAAACAACAACAAACCAGTCACTCGTAAATATCATAAACAATAAAAGTTAGTATATTTGCAATTAAAACAACAAATTTCATAAATATACAAATAAAAAGAAACTTGTAGGTGTATTAATCACACCAATAAAATAAAACGTACTATTAAATTTACAATAATGGAAATGAAAAGGAAACCGAACAGAAGAAAATGCTTACTCGGGGCAGACAGTAGAGACTCCACCAATATTATCAAGCTCGTCTATCTCATCCTGCACACCCAAATAAATACATATTTATTTACCCCCAAAAAAAAAAGTAAAAAAAACAAGCTCCACGTTTTCCACCCGCAACAAATTCAATAAAACGAGAAAAAAACAAAAGCATACAATTGCTAACAAAAGCAGAGGAAGCTGAAGAAGGAAAAGGAAAACCTGAAGGATTTGAATCTGTTGATTAAGAAAAGCAATCGCAGCGGTCATCCGATGCTTCCCCATAATGCCCGGAGTCACATTCGCCGGCGGAAGGGAAGGGGATAGGGAGTGACTGTGCAGCTGATCGGCCGCAGGCGGCGGCGCAGAGCCCATCAGCCGCCGCAGGGAGATGACTTGTTGGGGGAAGAGGGTGGAGCAAGGAAATACGAGCAAAACGACAAGTGAGTGAGATAAAATTGGGGGAAAACAAAAGTATTAATTTATGTGGGCAATTGGATTAAAGGAAGCCGATAAGAAATGATGGTGGGCACACACATGAAAGGGTAATTATGTCTTCTTATGCCCCAAAGGCCGTTGATCAGTGACCTCGACATTAGGGGTGTTCACGGTCCGGATTGGTCCGGTTTTAGCCCAAATCATGACCAAACCGGACCTAACGGTTAATTTTTTTTCTTGTCCATAACCGGACCGGTTTTATTTTTTAACCGACCATAATCCGGACCGTATTGGACAGTCCGATTTGGCGGTTAACCGGTTAAATCCAAAACTTGTTTTGGGCCTTGAATTTTTATTTTTTTCATTTTGGGCTTAATTTTTGTTTTTCAATTTTGGGTCCTAAAGAGATTATTTGGGCTTAAAAATTAAGAAAAACAACAATAATGAAATAAAAAGTACACAATTCGTCTCATAAGCATAAAAATGCACATTTCCTCCCATAAACATAAAAATACAAAAATGATGAAGATTAATTATGCAAACTGAACTCAAGCAAACATTCATTTTTCAGTCAGTTTATACACCTGAAATAATAAGAGCAAAGCATTCATAGTGAATATATTGTATTTGTCGGCCATAGTGAATGACTGAATGTATATATATATATATATATATATATAGAATTTGGATCATATGAGAAAGGGAGTTGGTGTAAGAAATAAGAAAGATTATATACCATCAGATTTGTTAAACGGACGGCTGAGATTGAGACAACCATGACAGGCCGAGTATGGGAAAGAGCGGTGGCATGGACGTAATTTTGGTGAACTTTAAGACTATTGTTTCATGACTGAGGGCATTATTGTATTTTCAACTACAGACTAGGGTAAAGGGACGTTCAGATCCATTAATCACAACATTGAATGTCGAGCTGCGTTATGAATTCGAAGGGACACTCTTCAGACATGCGATTTTTCCCAATTTAATGCCAAATCTTCAGCTGATTTTTGGTCCTTTTTTTCATGCGCGAGTAAAGATCATCACCATCGCAGAGCTTGTTGAGTTTTCTGGAGGATTAATCGCCAATTTTACATCAATCGGTAGAGTCACATATGGGAAATTCGCCACAGTCGAAGAAATCGGGTAAGGCATACTTGTATTTTGTTAGCCATTACTCATTCTCAATTTGTACAGTTTATATTCGTGTTATTATGAACAACAAAAAATAAAAATAAATATAGACTAAGAACTAGGGTTTGTAATGTGCGGATAGTTGGGGAAAATCATATATATTGTTATTCCTTAGCGATTCAAATTCGTATTGTTCACATGCCTGTAGAACTATATTGTCTTATTTCTCATATGCTCATGTTGAAATCTGTGCTGGTGATTAGTTGTATGGGTTACTGAGATATTATGGTGTATTTTGTCTAAATCCCGAAGTGTTTATGTGGTTGAAGCAGTTGATGTTGCGTATATGTGTATAGACTGAATTTTGTACAGTGTGTCTTAAGTCCTATGTTCTTTCGGAGTAAGTTATTTCTTTATGATTAACGTGTTTTATGCGCGATATAACCGTTTGCACAGGTGTTGGTCATAAAGGTACCTTACACAAGACGAATGACTATGTACCCGAAAACTACGTTGAAGGAGGTACAGCTGGTGTTCATTATATGTTTTTAAACATAATCTCATTTAAATATTGATATTAAGTATGCATGGTTTTCAAGTATATGTTTGTCGTACTTTCGCTGCAGACAACAGTGCGGTTGATGCAGTTACAACTGACCAACCGAGTGGTGCTTTGAAAGGTACATGCATCATGTAGACATATTAGGATTGAGCAATAATTAATGTTGAATTTTAGCTTGAGATTATTTGTTACACGTGTTCTTAAGTTTGTATTTTATATACCGTATAATGATTGTTATCATTGATTAGTGACTCGGCGTCGTACGAGCTTGACCCTAATNCAAAACCCATTGGTGCCCTTTCGAAACGTAAAAAAACACCTACACTTACAGCGGGACAGTCTGGTAGTGACGAGATGGCATACGATGGCACTCGACACGGTATATGAAACTATCCCTGATCATGTGCTTTTATCTGAATTTACAAAAAGAAAAAAAAAAGAAAAAAGAAAAAAGGCGGCACTGTATAGTTGGGTTGGTGTTTGACGAGCTTTTTATAACGTTCAATGTTTTTTTCAGATAAGGGAAAAATGAAAGTTGCTGATAAGGACATTGTGGGTGGCCCTGTTATTAATGACGGCGCCGACGTTGATATTGGTATTGATGATGAGGGCAGGTTCCCGAGCTTGACTACGCGATCTTCATCATCTATGTTCGTGAAGGCGGTTTCTGGGCTGACAGACGCCAAAAAGCGTGCCTTTCGTGAAATGGGACTGGGCAGTTTGTTGGACCTGACCATAACTACTACCCCATCCAAAATGGGATTCTGGTTGGTTGACAACTTCAACCACATGGACCGGAAAATTCGACTTTATGGTGGTAAAAAGGTGCATGTTAAGGAGGATGATGTTCATGCCGTATTTGGACTGCCTCGTGGAGATATTGAAATCTCAAATAAAAAGAAGAGAGTTGCATCTACACTGCTCGACGAGTGGATTCGTTTGTTCGATGTGAGGACTACGTCCAATATAACAGCATCAAAGGTGTTAGAGAAAATGAACGAGTGTGCCGATGGTGACGATTGGTTTAAGAGACACTTCATTGTACTTATGATTACCTGCTTATTCGAGAGTTGCCTAAATGGAATGGCAAACTTCCGTTTGGTTCACGCCCTTGATGACTTATCAAATGTTGGCAAATTCAATTGGTGCTCGTACATGATTCAGTGCTTGGTTGACACAAAGAAAATGTGGGAATGCAATGGCAAGCAGAATAAGTACTCGGGCCCCATGCTTTTCTTGACGGTCAGTCATTATGTCCTTAACATATATACTTCAATTTCCTATTATATGTTATACATATGTTACATCTTCGATGAGATTATGTTGTGGTTGTTTTACGTGTTGATCCATTCTTCGATGCAGCTGTTCTATGTAGACAAAGTAGTCCTGTCAGTGAGATCTGTGCCAAGAATGTTCCCGGTGTTTAGTTCATGGAGCAACGAGGCGCTACGGGCCAGGGAACGCGATGAGATTTCTTCCAAAGCGTTCGGCAGGGGTTTTGTTGATACCGACTTGCGCTTGATTGCTGATAGCCGACAGTTGGATAAGGTTGTTCCCGAAACTTGCGACAACAAGGATGGATGCGCGGAAGGTAACAGCGTTCAGGTACGTGAATATGTGGTGTGCAACATGTAATGTGTGTCTGTGCATTGTGTTGAGAATTAATGTGCATGATAAACATGCGGTTTTGACATTGTTGCCAAAATGTTTTCTCGATTTTATTCGGTTGCTTTTCATTTGTTTGGTTGCAGAACATTGTTGATTCTATATTTTTTTCCTTTTTTTTTTTTTTTTTTTTTGCTTACGTGAAAACTTGGTGTTATATTATGTGTGTCTGTTATGTCACTTAGGTACATGCGTGCACTTTTCGATATAGTAATGTGCAACATCATAAATACTATTGTGCATATACATGTATCATCTTTGAACATACGAATTATGCATATGCATTGATAATGTGGTGTTGTACACTGTTGTTTTTAGTTTATTTTTACTATTATTGTGCTATTATTACATGTTTACATCTATGGTAGTTTTTTAGTGATATTTCTGGTATTAATGTTTTGTTTTGATAGTCTATCAGTTATATCTTTATTTTGTGCATTATTCCATGTATAATTGTGTATCACGATGTATATAAATGTGCACTAATTAGCGTAATCATTATATGTGAATTATATATGTGTATTTTAAAATTTCGTGTTCTTACATTTATAACTACCATTATATAGGCCTATGTGCGAGAGTTTGCATCTAAAACCCTAATGCTCGCCACGACCGGAATAGAAATACTCCAGCTAGTCGAAAAGGCGCCACATGTTTTACTCAAAGATGACAACTTCTTGAAAATGCAAGATTCTGCTCGAATGCTCCTCGGTGTGTATAGTGAAGTACCTCAGTCAGAAAGGAGAGACGGAACAACTGATAATGACAATGATGCCCCATCTCAGTCCGCTGACGATGCTTTTTGGAGTGACCCTAAGACATTAGCGGCGATTGATGAAATTATGAGGGCGGTCAAACAACGAGACCGCTTCTGGAGGATGCAACGTGCGGGTTTTCCTAGTTATAGCTTGGGGTTTTCATCAGACGACGATGTTGCTGATGACTCCCGTAAACATATGGGTGATGCAGCTGTGAAAATCGGTGATGATACAGGTGAACACACCGTTGTATTGGATGCACCAAAAGGTATGTGATTACAGTTCCATACAATACATGTATATGAATATTAGTGTACCTTTTTGTTTTTTCCTCTAATATGTTTCCTGTTATGATCATATATGAAGCTGACGGTGATGTCTTACCTGTTAAAATGGTGATTGTTGATGGTACCGGACTGCAAGCTGGGGATGTTGGAGCTGTTTTACCTGTCAAATCGGTGACTGCGGATGAACCCGAATTGCAAGCCGGTGTTTGTTTAACCAAAGGTATATGTGTAAATGTGTTTTTTCATCACTTGATATATTATAATATACATCCTGGTAATATAAAATCATTTGTGTACATATATATATATATATATATATATTCATGTTTTAATTTCTTTTGATTTTCTTCGTTTTTTTTCTTTTTATTTATTGTTATTTTTCTTTTTTGTCAGACAAAGATAATGATGACAAAGATGATGATGACAAAGATTGTGAGGCCGACACACAGGGGTCACCGAGGCCGAAAAGGCGTATCAAGGCTACAAGTGCTGTCAAATCCCCCTACATTCAGAGGTCAATTGACGTTGTTAAGAAGCTCGACAGGCATGAGAAAGTGATTGCTATATGGGCCTTGAAAAAAGACACGCCAGATGAGTATGAGTGTTTTTATTTTATTTTATTATTATTAGACGATATCAAAACAATAGATAATCATATGTTTATGTATTCGTTCGTTTGTATACCAATCTAACTCATGTCTGTTCGGTGGTACGAATGATTTGCTGACAGTGATGTTATCGTATTCCGGTCGTCCGAATATTCTGTGAGGAAGCCCGTTCTGGCATGTTTGAGGCCGAACACACCAATCATGAAGGAGTTGTTGGATTTGTGGTCGTTTATTCTGAATTATAACGAGAACTTCAAAAGTCGTGGATCGGTAACATGTTTTTTTGCATCGACATCCCCGTGCAATGAGGTATGATAAACTTATTTTAGTAGTGCAAGTCATTTATCTTTAATAATACAATGTGTTTATTACTGTCTGTTATTTAAAATGTGTAATATATGGTTGTAGCTGTTTTATTCTGGGAGACGGAAGAAAGGCTTGAGCTATGAAAAGTTTGCTCAATCGCTCGATTCAGAAATTGAACGTGTATCTCGCTACCAGTTGAAGCAAATATCGGTGGTAATTGAATAATTATAAACTTGTGTTATACTTATTTTACAGTCCGTTTCTGTAATTTATTATTTCTGTTTTCACATTTTCATGTGTTTCAGTTTATATGTGATTTAGGTGAGCTAACAATTTTGGTGTATTCACAACATGTTTTATTTATTTTTTTACATCTTATGCAGTTTCTATTTCCTGTTCACACTGAATTGTTTTCGGGCTTATTGTGTCTGGCGCCTGATCTCCAAAAGTTCACGGTACTCGACAGCGCACAATTTGCAAAAAATGCGTCTGTTAAAAAAACCCTCACGTCCCATGCTGAGCTATTGGTAATGTTATAAAGTCATTATGATTGGTATTATTGTGTGATTGTTTGTTATTTCTGGTGTGTTGTACTGATCACGAACTCATTCACTGCAGCAATGCTCATTATCGAAGTATCTAGGCGAGAGGAACATTGTGAAGAAATCAGAGGCAATTGCACTGGCCATTCGGGACGTGATTGACATAGAATGGACTGAAGGGGTTGACAAGGCGGATGTTGGAGTTATCACGATGCGTCATATGGAGACATTTAAGGGCGGGTTTTCTAGATCTTGGAGTCCTCAGTTGAAGAAGGGAGACAAGGAACAGATGAAGCTTATGCGGAAGCGTTACAGTTGTGTCATTGCTTGTGCCTCGAACAACGAGTTGAAGGACATCAACCTTGCAAACGCGCATCAATACCACGCGTTGTATATGGCAAAGAAGCAGCGTAACGCACCCTGATCGTTTGATGAAATATATGGGTTTTGGATCTGTCGGTTTATCGTTTTGTTTTGGACTATGTGGATAGTTGTCTTTTCGTTTAAGCACGGTGGATTGTTATCGTT